AAAAATGTTTACACAAATTCAGTTATCATCTTAGCTTCATTGACATCAAAATATTAACAAAAATTTGTTTAATCAATACAAACATTGTGGTGGCAATATGTTATAAATATTAAGTACAAAAAGCTTGACATTTGAAACCACAATATAATATGTCCAAAAATAAAATTAGCTTCCATGCCACCATTAATTCATCTATTTATTAGTCATTAATGCATGCAAAACCTAAAAACAAAAACAAAAACAAAAACAGATTAAATCAAATATTAGGTTATATAATATATATAGCTTTACCAAGTCATAAACTCAATTTTAGCAGGACACTCCCTAGCTAATACTATTGGGCCTCACTAAATATAATCAAATTGTCTAGATTATAATCAAATTGTCTAGCTCAGTGCTAGACAGTGAAGGCAATTAGGACATTGTCGTGCTGGAAAACTTGGTCTGCTCTCAGACCATACTAGAAATTCTCAAAATCCGTAGGCCTAGATTTGTGACATTCACAGATGCTCCTTTTTGGGTTGGTTCCACTAATGGTAAGTTCACTACTACTGCTGCCTATAACTTATTGCTAATCAGGTCATGAGTAGTGGGGATTGGAACTGGATCTGGAAACTCAAAGTTCCTCAAAAGCTGAAAACTTTCATCTAGCTTATTCTTAAGGGAAGGTTGCTCACTAATCATATGAGACTCATAAGGAATATGGCCTCAACTGACCTGTGCTCCAGTTGTGGATTAGCTAGTGAAGACATGAATCATCTCCTTAGAGAGTGCAACTCCTCGAAATACATTTGGGTTCAAATAAAGGACACTAAATGGTGGGAGGCTGGATGTGGTCAGCCTCTTTTGAATGGGTTGCTGAGAATTTGAAAAAAAAAAAAAAACTGAGTTTTTTGGTAAAAAAATGGTATACTATTTTCATTGTTACCTTTGGCAGTTATGGAAAGATTGAAACAAACTTATTTTTGAAAGCCAAATTACCCCTATTCAAATCAGTCTCAAGAACATAAGAAATTATGTCCATGAGATTGATGAGGCCTTCCAATCTATCCTCCACCCGAATCTCTCGCATCATAGACAAATCAAATGGTTTTGTCCACTTGTAGGAAAGCTGAAATTAAATGTTGATGGCTGCTCAAAAGGAATGCAAAATAGGTTCAACACTATTAAGAAATGCAAAATAGGTTCAACACTAATCAGTCTTACTTTAGGTTCAACATCAGGAAAATAGGTTCAACAGCAACAATAACACTAAATCGGGTTTTCAGTAGGCTAACCCTTAACCTCAACTATGTGTGATTGTGAATATTACATTATGTAATAGAGATACCTGCATAGGAGAACCCAATAACTCATCATCATGACTGTCATGATCTCCTACAGACTTCCTGACTTGTTAACGTTCACTAGAGGCATTTGGAAGCTATATAACCAACACCAATACCATTTTATTAAATATAATACATAGAAAGAAAAGGAAAGAAAAGAAAAGAAAAACAAACAAATTGCCCAAGTTATTCAATTAGTTATTTTTACTCCACCTGTATACCACTTAGGCCGCCTTGGGACCCTATGAAGTCCATCCAAGCTCTAATTTGTTCAAACTCTACCTTCAACTTCTCAGTGACCCTTTGCTCAATCTCAACCGTTAGCCTTTGCTCAATCTCTTAAGTAACTGGGTACATAAATTTGGAATTCTACCTTCAAATTCTCTCAAATGAAAAAGGAACAACCCTTTCTCAGTGAGGACAATACAATATTACCCAATTAGAATTCTGCTAGTAGATTACAAAACTATACACCATTAGTCCCTAATATATAGAAAGCTCAAAAATAGAGAACCCTTTTGGCTACATATCAAGCCAAACCCGTGAGGCGAAAGAACGGGGGTGGAAGGTTACAAAAGCATGCACCATTTTTCCCTAGTTTGATTCCAGAGAAAGCTCAAAATTAACTAGAGGCGAAAGAACACAAATCGAACACTCAAATTATCTACTATTTCAATTATTAGGGAGACTGATATGTATATACATAGAGAGAGAGCACTAACCTGCAGGAGGACAGTTGGCGGTGTCGGTGGAGAGGAGGAGAGTCGGTGGTGCCGGTGGAGATGGAGAATCGACGGTGCCGGTAGAGATGGAGAATCGGTGGTGCCAATATGAAGAGTTCGTTCCTTAGTGATGAACGAAGATGAAATTTAGGGCAAAAAGAGAACAAATTTTTTTTTTTTAAAAAAAAGAGTAAGGGTGTATATATCAGGTTCTAAAAACGATGTCGTTTTAATTTTTTTTCAATTACTTTTTGTGACAGCGCACAATATAGACGCAAAAGTAACTTGAAATGGGCGTGAAAAAAGGCGCGCAATGCAATTTTTGGAGCCAAAAAAGTGGAAAAAAATTAAATAAATTTTTTTGAGACGGTAAAAATTTGGCCAACGCAAATAATATTTTGTTTGAGACGGTATAGTCTAACGACTCAAATAATAATAGTAAGTACATTTTTTTTTGAGACAGTCCTACTTTGCCATCTGTAATAATACATTGTTGAGTTAGCAAATGTTTCTGTCACAAATAATGGGACACAAATAGCTCCTTTTTTTGTAGTGTTAACTTAATGATTTATTAATTTAAAAAATTATTTGTTATTCGATTAAAAATTTAAAGGGGCAAAATGTAATTTTTAAAATTATATTAGACAATACGTATATTAAAAAAATCTGAAAGAATATATTCGTAACTTTTCGAAGAATGTTTGGTTGTGTTTTGCTTTTTATAAACTTGTTTGCTGAAAATAAATGGAACTCATTTCAAAAAGTGACCCTTGTTATCATATTCGTCTTTTTTGGGATATTTTAAACCATTTGTCATTTTCTCTAGTGCTTCATCCTTGCATATGCATTGCTGTTCCATTTTTAAAGCCTTTAAATTTTAACTTTACTTATTACTTCAGGCTAATTAAACTCAATAATTTGATAAAGAATAATATTATATGTATTAATTAATGTACGTATTAGTATATTAATAGATGATGTGATATTATTTGTATGATTTTAACTATTTTTAATTTGTATAATAAATATAGTCAATAATAATATCATAACACTAATTGGTACACTAGTATGTACACTAATTAGTACATGTAGCACTACCGTTGGACAAATCATAGTGAAGGTACATTCTTCAAGTTTTTCCATTTGACTATTTTATTTGTATCTATATGGAATTTGTAGGCTATTTTATGGTACAGAAGATATTATGGCACTTCAAACCAATACCTATAATAGGACTGAATATGAAAATATTGTTGAAATATTGGATTATTGGAGAACATTATATAAAGACCCAGATTTAAGTATTGATGAAAGAAATAGGCTACTAGATCAGATATGAGAAACTTATCTAGAACATGAAGCCCTTTTACAACACTTTAATTATGATATTAATATGTCAACTAATGATGATGACAGTCAATCATCCTCATCTGAAGAAACATTAGATCAAGATATTTCATCTGAAATAAATAAAGGGAAAAGAAAGTCAGAAGAGCCAATTGATCCCGAATTATTTGGCACATGGGGAGATGGGAAAAATTTTGACTTTATTCAGACAAATGAAGTTAAAAATGACACTAATATTGGAAGTACCTCCAATCCTACACCCGAGCCAGTAATATCTAGAAAAGATAATAATCATAATAAGTATCCAATAGCTCAAAATGATACTTATTTAGACTTGCCTCATGTTCCATTTAAGGATCAGGAACAAGTAATTGATGATTGGACACAATCCTTGTCCATCATTATTACCAATTATAAAAATAGTTGGTCAAAGAAAAAAATTCCTTGATTATATTGCAGCAACTCTCCAGGGAGATGTGTTGCAATGGTTAAGACAGTGGGAAAAATCTGAAATTGGAAAAAGTCAAAAAACGGCTTTGTTAACAAATTTTCTCACACTTGACACAATTTTAGCTGAATTTGCAAAAATCATAAAAGAAAATTTATGTGATTTTG